TAGAAGAAGTGAAAATTTGCACTACTCAGGTATTTTACATACCATTTATCTCATAAAATTGTTCAAATTTGAGGCTATTATGTTTTTAATTCTTAATTTTTTTATTTTTAAATAAATTTAATTGGGACTCCTTTGCACTTTTTTAAAAATTAATTTTTTAAAATAATTTATTGGGGACTTGTTTGCACGTTTTTTAAAAAATTGGAACTACAATTGTAATTAATTCTTTAGCTTTTTTATTTAAATATGAGGATATATTCGTCATTTTATAGGTTTCAATGATAAAATGGATGAAAATTGATAGAAATGATGGTTTGCACAATCAAATATGTAAATAAGGGTGAAAATGCCAAAAAATTAAAGATATGGACCTTTTTCGCAATAATGGTGAAAGATAGAGACATTATATACTAATTAATCTTTTAATAATTTATTTGTGACTTGTTTGTGCTTTTTTTTAAAAATTGAGACTGTGATTGCAATTATTTTTTTTCTTTTTTTATTTAAAGAGAGTGGTATATTCGTCATTTCATAAATTTTAATTGGGAAAATAGGTGAAAATGACTTTTTGCACAATGAAATGTGGAAATAAGGGTGGAAATGCCAAAAAATGAAAGTATAGACGTTTTCCAAAATAATAATGAAATGTGGAAACGTTATGTGCTAATTTTCCTTAATAATTTAGCGGATGAACTAAGGTTTTAAAACCTTTATGCTTAAAATAAAGATCTTGATATGGGTAGAAGAGATGACATTTTTTATTCCACAATAAGTAACGTTTAATCATATAATATTGAGAGATAAATATGTTTGCTAACCTTTATGCCATATCTAAAGACATAAATCAATCCGCAGTCACAAATAGAAATGTAAAATGGAACATGACAGACCATCCATGTCGAGCTTGATAAAAGCTAGCAAAATTGCATTGCATTCACGATCTCAGTAAAAATTAAATTAGTAATTAGAATCCATCACAATTTTCATGTCTAAGTGCTATATTGATTAATCAGTTAAATTTTAACATATTCATTTGAATTGAACATTAATTATATTAACAGGAGGTAACAAAGTGACTAATGAAATTAAATTGAAGGACAATGATTTGATTGGAACAAATTAAAGATGAGTGATTCAATTGAGATTTTCATGAAAGTTCAGTGACCAAATTTGAAATTAACCCTACGTATAACTAGTGTGGCAAAAAAAATTTCCAAATAGCCCTCGTTATGATTAAAGTGAAAAGTGCCCATTGATAAAAAATTTCGTTCAAAATACTCTATATATCAATGTCTTAATTTACTTCAGTAACGATCTCCACCTTCCTCACAAGCTCTCAATCATCCCTATGTCGCAGTCCTCTCCATTTACTCTATGTGTGCCCTTTCCACTCTTCCCCGTCATGTATATCCCATTACTCTTGTGTCTCCAGCACTTTCCTAAGTAACAGTTCAACAAATTCCCAAACTCCCTAGTAGCAAGTAGGCTGGGGTAGAGGGGGCGCACACCAAATGAAAAACAACCGAGCATATGAAATGTCTAAATGAAACTCCAATGTAATCAAACCATCTCTCAAAGTGAACTTATCTCAGAAAAAGCAAAATACTAGCAATTAGGAATAAAATTAGGTTTAACGAGTGAATACTAATAAATTATAACAAGTAAATGCATGTATATTCATAAACAACATTCGATCATTATAAGAATATAACTTAACATTTCCTCCATTGTTTCTTTTCTTTGAGCTCAAGAAAAGAAGTGTGTGAGTGAGGGTGGGGATTAGGTTTGTTGGATTTGAATGAGAAAATAGACAAAACTGCTCATACCTTTCTTGGTGTGTATATATTTATATATTGATTTACAAACATTTGTAAAGTGTGCATCGTACTAAAAGTAGGGGAAGAGAGAGTATTGATGTGAGGGTGCGTATTAGGATTGTCTGATTTGAATGAGAAAAATGAAATACAATGAAATATATGTGTATATGAATTTTAGATACAATTGTATACAAATTACACAGTAATAAGAGGTAAGAAAGTGCACGATTTTTGGAGGGGGGAAAGTGTGCGGTATTCAAAGGAGGGAGAGAGAATGCAAGATGTAATGACGCGGAACAAATATTCTTTGGAATAGTCTAAAAATTGTTAAGCTACTTTTAATAATTTTTCTCGAGGCTTAAAAATAGTTAATTTTTTTTTTCAAATGTAATGTTCAATTTACTGTTAAGATAATAGCTTAATCCTTTCTAGTTTTTAATTAATAAATTCTTTCATGTATTTTGGTTCTTAATTTTTTTTTTTTTTTAACTTATAAGTGAACTTTGTGAGCTCATTGTTTTTTTTTTTTTTGGCGAATTTTGAGTTCATGACTAGTGTCCAATTAAGATTTTCATAATAGTTTACTAATCATATAAAAGAGCATGTTTGGTAAAACTTAAATATCTGTATATATAAAAGAGCATGTTTGGTTTAGATTATTCACTTGATACATTCGTTATCTTATTAGCACAAGAAAAGAAAAGAAACCCTAATATTTCATTTTTGTCCTCCCATGTGTATTACAATTGGGGATTGGACAATTGTGGTGTGAAAAGATCGTGGTAAATCAAGATTCATAAAGGAGAAGAGGGATCGTGATTGTTCGTGTCAAGATTCTCAAATTGGTTCGAAGAACTTGATAAACGTAAAAAACTAATCAAAATTTCTATTTAAATACAAAGATGATCTTTAAAAAAAATTGTGCACGTACAAGTGAAATTCGAACATGGGTGAGGGTGGGTATTAGAGTTGTTGGATTTGAATGAGAAAAATGGACTAGGATGTCTTTCTTACTATGTGAATATATTAGGGGTCGTTTGATTGCAAATGTGTAAAATAAGTCGAAAGGAAATATTTTATAGAGAATTGATTTGCCTATAAATTGTTTTATTAGCAATTGTAATTAATTATTTTTTATTGGTATAATTTTTCAAGAAAAATATTGAACATTTGGTGTTCGTTTGGCTTCGTCTTTTATGAAAATTGTCTATTAAAGTGATAATATTTTCTACCATTGGGTCTAGAATTTGTTTCAATTGTCAAAAAAAATTTGAAAAAATAACAATACCAAACACCATTCGTTTAATTTTATTTTGCATGAAAATTATCAATAAAAGTGAAATTTTTTTTTACCATTGTATCTAGAATTTTTTCCGATTGTCAAAAAAAAAAAACCTTAAAAATGTTTACCCACTAAAATATCAAAAATTTATTTTCCTTGAAAGGTGAAAATTTTGAAAAGTTGGAAAATGAAATTTTCCATGAAAAATGTGTGTTATCAAACGGAACTTTATATATTAATTGATTACATACATTTGTACACACACTCAGCGCAGCGTGTACGGTATTCAGAGGGATGAGAGAGAGAGAGAGAGAGAGAGAGAGAGAGAGAGTCATGGTGTGATGTGATGGCACTTTCTGAACAAATATTCTTTGGATTGGGCTAAAAAATGTTATACTATTAAAGTATTAATAATTTTTCTTAACAGAGGTTGGCACCTTTCTAATTTCTTCGAAGAATGGCAGCAACCTATGTATTTTATTTCTGTTTGGGTTTAATTAAGAAATTCCTCCATAGCCAATAAATGATGCTACAAGACACATGCTATGGAAAAAGTGTTACATACCAATTATCTTATAAAATTGTATAGATTTGAGGCCATTTTGTTTTTAATTCATTTCATATGTTCTTGTGGGGAAGATAACATAATTATTATTACTTATTTTTTTTTTGAAGAATAACATAGTTAATAATTTAATGCATGAACTAAGGTTTTAAAACCTTTATGCTTAAAATAGAGATATTTATATGGGTAGAAGATATGATACATTTCACAATAAGTAACGTTTAATCAAATGATGTTCATAATTCTGAAGGACTATTTTTGAGGGAGAAGTATGTTTGCTAACCTTGATGTCATATCTAAAGGCAAATTGATCCGCTATCACAATTAGGAATGTAAAATGGAACATGACAGACAACCCATGACGAACTTGATACAAGCTACCAAAATTGAACTCTAGGCACGATCTTAGTAAAAATCAAATTAGTAATTCACAATTTTCATGTCTAAGTACTACATTGACATTTTGTTATGTTTTAACCTATTCATTTGAATCGAACATTAATTATATTAACATGAGATAACAAAATGACTAATGTTGAAAGTAAGTTAAAGTTTAATGATTTGATTGAAACAAATTAAAGATGAGAGATTCAATTGAGATTTCATGAAAGTTCAGTTACCAAAATTGAAATTAACCATATATAAAACTATTGTGCAAAAAAATTTCTAAATATCCCTCGTTTATGACTAAAGTGAAAAGTACCCACTAATAAAGCTTTTCATTCAAAATACTCTCTATCATTTACAAAATAAAAGAGGCAGTTTGAAATGCACTGTTGATGCCAAATGTCGTAAAAATGAATCGTCAACATAACGACGTCGTATTTCCCAATCATATTTTCTTCTTCTTGCAAGCACTCTTTGCAAATTGACAACTTATTGTGTGCCATATTTCATACTTTGTCGGCTTCAGAAGTCTCTTTCACTTTTACAATCATAAAAATTGTTGCTTCGCCTGTGTTTTGCTGTCTGAATACTTTCAAGGTTTGTCTATTTTCTTTCTTTTAGTTTGGATTGGGTGTACGATGATGTTTTCAGTTATGTTTTTTCCATATTCCCTCCTATACTTCTTCAAATTAAGCCTATAAAATAGAGAAGTGTTTCTAAACCCTAACCTTCCTTAACTTCTCTTTTGTTCAGATGAATTACAAAAGACTCGTCAAATCCAATTTTCTGCCAATTACGAAAACTTCAGATCAATCACAAAAGACTTCTCGTTAAATACAATTTTCTGCCAAATACAAAAAATACAATACATAATTATAACAATTTCATAAATATCAACACAAATAGTCGAATAATTATTAGAAAAATAGGGGAAGTTCTATGAATAAAAATGAATAGCTTATGTATTCCCGAGCAAAGACACGCTCATGCCTTCGCTTTGAGGTGCCTCCGTGCACGTGGACGGAGGCACGACGTGCCTCCGTTCTCATGCACGGAGGTTGCCTTAGGAACGTGCCTCCGTGAACGTGAACGGAGGCACGACGTGCCTCCGTTCTTGTACACGGAGGCAAGCTGCCACTACACCAGGACGGAGGCATGCACGCGAACGGAGGCACGACTGCCTCCATTCTCGTGCACAGAGGCAAGCTGCCACTGCATCAGGACGGAGGCACTCTGGTGTCTTCGTGCACAGCGTGCTTCCGTGCACATGAACGGCTCCGTACACTATCGCTGCCTTAGGAGCGTGCCTCCGTGCAAGCGAACGGAGCCACGTCTCTGGTGCCTCCGTCTTACTTTCCCCTTTCATTTCTCACTCCTAAAATTTCCACTTGTCTCTACTGCTTTACCGAAAAGAAATCTCTCGATGAACCCTAATATCTCTTATTCTCTCTCAATTCTCTACGGAAGCAAGCAAAACTTCCGCCTGTGTTTTGACTTCCCGATTGGAGTTGATTCGGCAACCACCATCATCAGTACCTCGCTGGAAAAGGTAGGTTTTCTCCCCTAATTTCCTCCGCCACCGACGCTTGGAAGGTACCTTTTCCTCTGAGTTTGTTATTGCACTTGCATGTAATCTCTGTTTTTGCTGTCGATATTTTTGTACTCGTAATCCTCATTTTTACTTGTTTAAGTTCAATATATCCTGCTTTGTCTAATAAATGATTTAGTCTTTTCTATAGGACAAAGCTAGGAAACATTAGGCAAGCAAATTGACACGACAGAGGATGGCTACACCGATCATGAATTGTTCTCTCTGACTTCTATCAAGGTATATTTCTCCTTCATTTATTATTACATTACCAATTCGAAAGATCAGTCAATTTTAGCCTATATTAATTGGCCTGTGTTTCTGTTCAGGTATGAAGTCCTGTGGTTTTCTATTTACTGTTGAAACATTTTATAACTATTATCTTTCATGGAAGAAATCAAATTCAAATACATTTTCTTTTACATTTCTAAAGTGACCATCTATATGTTATTGAAATTATACAAGTGCATGCACTGTTAAAATTACTTGTGGTCGATATGATGTCAGTAGATTACTTAATCTCTTCTTCCATTCTAATTCATTTAGATGTAAATACGCTAAATTTTATTTGACTTTTCCTGTTAGATTTTAACTAGTACTTCCAAACGACCTGACTCTTCCAATCATGGAATTATCATTAGTAGAGATTTTTTCTACATTGTATCTATTATTATACTCTGAAAGATAAAAAGTAAAGATAAGACAAGTTGTACTTTTCTTCTTTCTTCATACTCTTCTCATGCTTCATTATTTACTTTATGGGAAAAATCATGTGAAAATTTAAGTCATCAACTTCATTTTAACTTACTGCCCTCATTCCACACAAACATCTTCCATGTAATAATATAATGTTGGGTTTCAAACTTGCTTCTAAATTCACATAAGTCATACCTACAAATTACGATAGTCAAATTCAATGCATCATGGAAAGAATTACTTGTATTGTTCAGAATGATCTTTAACTATAAAGCCTTTTGTTAACTGCAGTGTGGAGGTTATGACTTGTTCTTTATACTCATTAGTCACTCTCTTAAAAAATGGACCTGCAAGCTTAAGTGCTAAACCAATTGTAAAGCAAAGTATGTTACTACTTATTTGGTATTATTAGTCAAATTCATCAACAAGAAAGAAATAAAGGAGTCCAATTTATGGTTTTGTTGCATTTCTTTCATCAACTTATTACTCCACTAGAACTGCATTTTGCTTTGTAATTTCCCTTTATGCAGTTAAAACTTTTTTCTCATTAAAGTATTCCTATGGAGGGAGAGAAAATAGTTAGATTTATTTGATATATTTTTCATGTTAGCAGGGACTCGGTTTATACGAGTATTTTTAATTCAGGAGTGGAATATGTGACCATCAATTTTTATTTTTTCTTATGAAAATGTTTTATCAGGCAGACAGAGACGACGTGCCTCCGTGTTTCAATCGTTATTTATTTCCGCAAAATAATTGATCTTCCTTCAAGCCAGCATAAAGTTAGAAGTAGTCCTGTTGTAGTTGCTATATACATTGAACGTACTGGGTTTTGTATTTAATATTCGATAATATGGTTTCGGGGTTTATTATGATTATGCACTCCTATGTTATTATTTTGAGTTGTTTTCTTAGATTTGTTGTATAGATGTGATTTTTAAGCATTATATGATTTGAATATGTTTCTTACTAATTTCTCCTTTATATTTGTTCTTCACTTGGAACAGATGAGATACGTCCATTTTACATTGTCAAGCTTGTGTAATGATTGACTTCTTATGAGTATGTTAAAATTGAGTTTCCATGGAAGGAACAAATTTGTAATTAATTGCATAAAATTTCATGGAAAGTCGTGCTACCATTAGGCTATTCTATTTTCATTTTACACTTATGTTAGATTCACATGAATAATTGTATATTTTTGTACTAAAGCTTCATGAAAATGTAGTTAGATATATTTTCTATCACAATGCTTGTGTACTTTCGCATGAGGATGAAAGAGACTACATCAGGTGGTGAAAATATAGTCTTTTACTACAGTCATTAACTTTCCCCCCGAAGTGATATTAATATTAATGAGTGAAATAATTGTAGTTAGCTTAAATGCTGATGTCTCGTAATAGACATCTCTATTGCTAATCAAATACACCTAGAGGTTTAGGAAATAAAGTAAACAAGAGTTTAGTTAAATTTCTATTTCTATAATTTTTTAAAACTATCAGAATCTGTATGTAAACTATAATTTTTTTAAACTATCAGAGCAATTTTCTGTCTTAGGTTGGTCGTGAGAGGAATTCAGCTTTCTACTTGATACAAAAATACGCAGATTTGAATTATTTAGGTACTAAGTTACAGATAATATCCGCATTGGCAGTCAATCACTTGAAGAGTTTTATTTATATTGAAGCCTACAAGCAGTAAGATATTAATGATGTATTCATCTTGCTCGTTTGTAGAATCATTATTTTATTTAGGTGGTAATTATTTTATTGCGTTTTTTGTTTTCTGGTGTGTTAATCTTATTATTTATGAATAAAGGCATGTAAAGAACTTTGCACTGTTTTTCCAAGCCGAGCGGCCAAAATACCTCCCAAAGAAATCCATCATCTGCTCTCCATCAGGAGCAAGTCCAATGCAATCTCCAAGGGCATGTGGCCCGTGTAAAGAATGGAAAATGTATAGGCAATCTTGCACAGGTATGGTCTTACTCATGTATCAAAATATTAATCATAATTCATATATATATATTTTTTTTTTTCACTTTGCAAACAATAGCTTTTATTTTTTCCTTTAGGCAAAGAAACTGTTAGCTTTTTTTTTTTTGTTAATTGTCTCAATTATGTTTGCTCTCCTAAATAATTACCATTGATGTTTAGATAACAATGATTGTTTATTGGAATAATCCACCGAATGCTTTCTTTGTATAGTTTCATTAGAATGTTAAGGAAAGTTCTAAGATATCAAAATATTTAATACTATTTGTTTTGAAGCATAATTAGATCAGGGAATCTTTTTATTTTTTCTAATGAGGACTTTTTATTGCCTCCTGACCTCAATAAAGTGTCTGAACAAATTGACCAATATATCTCTGATTTGTCCAGCTTCCGGAAATTCACAACTTATCTGGATTATAATCTAGGCTTATGGATTTTGGTCCACAATTTGTGGTACCTCGTACCCCCGCTGATAAGAAACAAATTGTTTTTGTAAAACATGCTCATAATCAAACCCACCTATTTGTTCGAGATGGAAATTTACAAATTGTGTCTCCGTTACTGCTAAAAGATATGAACATAAGTTAAGCATGGATATGATTTTGAAGTTTTAAAATCAGCTGATGAGTCATATGTTAAAAGTTTCTTATGCAAATGTCAATGAATAACTTGTGAAGTAGCTCATTTTGTTGCTAAAGCCTTCCCCATTATAGTATGAAATATGAAGAATTGTTCCATATTTAGTTATACTCGTTTCAACCTCTGATACAGTGCACAGGAGTTCTGTAGAATTGGTGATGATTCTTGCCTTGTCCTATGGGATGCTAGAATTGGCTCTGCTCCTATTGTTAAGGTTATCTTTCTTCATTTTACATTTTTGAAAGGCTAATGATCAATGTGTGCATAAGATGTTAGCTGATGTGTAGAGTATTCTATTTCTATATCTTTCATTTTGTTATGCTTCTATTATTGTTTTCCATTTTCATGTAGGACTTCGAAGAATTTAAGGGGGGCATGCATAATTTCATATTTCTTGTTTTTGGGTTCAAAGGGAATGCATAGTTCAATGCTTCTGACAAGCTAGATTTTGCATTTTATGAAAGTTATTTGAATTTTAATCTTTCTTTGAGCTTGTAGTTGGATGCACTTACATTTTATTGCTATATGTTATTTCTCAGGATGTTAAAATTTTTAAAAATATTGTGCTACATGTGGGAAATCTTACCTTCACTATTATTTAAAAAAAAAAAAAATTCCCATCGGCACGGAGGCATGGAGACACGGCTGGAGGCCCGTGCTAGATTATTTAGAGTCCAAAATGTCTACCTCGTAATGTTATTATGTGACCAGGTGGGCAAGGGTTTGTCTAAAGATGCCGAGCCACAAAAGTTGGCGTTTCAACATTGGATTGAAGCTGTGAGTTACTCTCTTCTGGGCCCGAGTTTAAATTACCAATTTTTAATTGCAAGCAATGTTCTATTGATATGGGGTACTATTTGCTTTATTTGGTAATGAGTCTCTAATTATGAGAATTTTGTGTAGTTGGATTTCATTTGTGTGCTTTCAATCTAGATTCATTCGAGGTATCGATATGGGCACAACTTGCATCTTTATTATGAAGACTAATGCTGGTCAGCCCTCCTTCTACTAGTGAGAAAAATTTGAATTAATTGGATGCCATGAATTTCTACTTTGAGCATCTTTTGATATTGTCTAGGGTCATAGTTCTTTATCTGGACAGAAGCAGAAATTTACTTCTTTTAGAATCTATTTTAGAACGGGACAGAAGCAGAAATTTTCGGGTTTTTCTTAGGAGACGTTTGGGGATAATGGGTGTAAAGGTAATTGTATATTCTTTACAGATCAATTCTTTTGTGGGAAAGATGATTGGGTGTGCAACAGTTGTTTGGGTGGCGTTTTTATGATTTTTATTTGTTTGGGTGCATGCATGTCAGGTATGAGAGAAATTGTATGAAGTGGCAATGAGGAGGAATACAATAGCAGTGTTGGAGAATCGAGCTGGGAAAACTACGATACAAGCTATGATGATCAAAGAAATTGGGAAAACTTTAAAGAATAATAAGGATGAAAAAAATTGATTATTTTCTTAACACCCACTTTTCATCTTGTTCATCAGGTATGCCCTTTCTTATAGTATTTATGATTGACTGGATTTTCCTTAGTTTGATGTTTAATTTCCAATTTGTCATTGTGCTTAAATTATTCACTTCTAAATTATATTTTGGGTGCTATTCCTCGTGGGCTTGGGCAAGACAATTGGCTTCAAGGTTTACCTTGAGCCTTGGTTGCTAGATTTTTTCAAACTGATAAGAAGTTTCAAAGCAAAGGAATGACATCCAGAATTCAGTCTTCTTTCCAATTTAATACATTTCGTTTTTTATGTGGCTCGAGAGCTTATTGTTTCTCTCTTCATCTTATTCTTGCCAGGAAAAACTCCAGGAACCCAGCAACATTTGTAGTAGTTGATGGATGAACCGTGACTATTGCTTCAGTTGGCGATTCCCACTGCATTTTAGATGCTCAAGGTTGTGGTATCTCTATCTTGACTGTTGATCACTGACTTTGATGAAAATTCAGAGGAATAAGTGCTTATCTGGTTACCCTTTATATTTATGTTTTTCTCCCTTCATTTGTTGAACCACTCTATCTAATTGCAATAGTCTCTGTTACGTACAAACAAGATTCATTTTTTGATCAAAGATTTGACACATGCATGGTTTTCATAAATGCATTTCTCCTTGCCTCCATCCTTGGATGGAGGCAAGGAGAAATGCCTCCATCCTTGCCAGATGGAGGCATGGAGAAATGCCTCCATCCAAGGGATGGAAGTGCCTCCGCGCACACACCTGTGTGCCTTGTGCACGGAGACAACCCCATGTACCTCCGTGCACAATTTTTTTTTTTTTTTTTTTGCTTTAGTGAGACACCTCCATTTAGGATGGAGACACATGTACATTATAAATGATCTGGCCACGTAGAGTGATTTTTAGTCATTGTTAATGTTAATTTAGCTGCTTCGAATTTTTTTTGTTAGCAATTCAGTTTTTTTTTAATATTATAATACCATGAAGCTAGAAACAGCAGCATCGCTGTGGAATTGTGTTAGTTTGACTGCTTCGAAGGTAAAAAAATATGATTTCTTGCTGGCGACCGTTTGGGCTGCTTCAACCTTTCTCACAATGATCCTATCATTTTTCTTTTCATAGACAACAAACAGATTTATAAAGATAACACCACTATTGATGAAAATATTAGTCTAGCTCACCAACCGTTCAAAGGATTTCTCTACTGATGAATTTAGAGAAAAATCTGATGTACATTGCTTTTTAATTGCAGATGATACTCAGGACCCTAAAGAAGATGTACAACAGTTAGGGCATGCAAAGTACTGGATCAGATCATACCACTTTGATACCATCAAGCTCACTGATATGCTCTCTAATTCCCCTGACATCTCAGTGGTAAAGACTTGTTATGAAATTGTCTCTTGCTAATATAAATTGCATCCATATAAAGTTCAATTGAATCTTTTTTGCATTTATGTTATCATTAACATTGTAGTTCAATGGATGCATGTTATGATTGAAGGTAATTGAACATTGTCAATTTAAAACTGATCAAACCAGAAACAATTCCTTATGTTTCCTTTTCCTGATATGATCAAATTCTATAACTTGCATTCCTAGTTTCCTAGAGAAAAACTAGGCTAGCCTGCAGTTAAATATTTCGAATAATGACATTACCTTACTTATACATCAGACAAATATTTCGTCCAAAGTTTGTGTACAACGACTCAAAATCACTCAACGCTATTAAATAGTCAACTAAAGTAAAACACGTGCATCCCACGTGCATCCCACTAGTTTTTATTAAAAGAGAGAAAAAAAATAGAAAACAGAATAAAAATTAATAGTCTTCTTTGTATTATAATGAAAACCAAAGCCTCGTATTTATAAAAAAGGATTAGGAATATAATAGTAATAATTTTTAGGACTGTAGGGGTATAATTATCATTCACTAATAAACTTATTATTTGCAACACTTCCCTTTAATGACACATTACAAAATATCCGTTTCGATAAAATCTTATTTGATAAAAAGTTAATGGGAAAAAAAATCAAACGAAAGAAAAAATGGTACAGTTATTTTGGAGTATTAAAAATAAATGTTGCCCAATTAAAACATTGTAAAAAAATCCAGTGGGACAAAATCTTAGTGCAACTACTCTCCCTAATGTTAATTACTGAAAATCTTTGAGTCTTTACGCATTTCAATTTTGTGAACCAATTTCTTGAATATGGATGTCGATAGCATTTTTGTGAATAAATCAGTTACATTGTAATTTGAGCAAATTTATTGAACATCAATGTCGTCATTCTTTTCAAACTCATGTACATGAAAGAATTTTAAAAAAATATGTTTCGTCTTATCAACTTTGATATATCATCATTTAAGTTGTGCAATATAAGCTGCATTGTCTTCATACAAAATTATTGGTCCATCTTTTGTTGAAATTAATCTTCATAATACTTGAATAAGATGAGTCATGTTCCTCAACCATACACATTCTCAACCTGCGTCATGGATTGTAATAATTTCAGAATGATTTGAGGATGTTATTGTCAAGGATTGCTTCATAAATCTCAATGATATAACTGTTTCTACATGTGTAAACACATATTTTGTTTGTGTTTTGACTTTATATGGATTAGAGGGATAACATGCATCTGCATATCCCACAAAAGCGGATCTCGACTTTTGAAAATAAAATAATTCTAAATCTGTAGTACCTTTTAGATAACGAAAAATATGTGTAACATCATTCCAATATCTTTCAGTTGGTATAGAGTTATATCTTGTTAGGAGATTTACAGATAAAGTTATGTCAAGTCTTGCAATTTGAAGATAAGTTAATACTCCAATTGCACTAAGATATGGTACTTCGGGACCAAGAAACTTTTTCCATCTTCAAGTGGACAAAATTGATTTTTTTCCACGTCAAATGATCGAACAACCATATGTGATGCTAATGAGCCTGCATTATCAACATAAAAACTTATTAAAAAAAATTTCTGTATATCTAGATTAATAACAAATAATCATTTTGAAAAATGTTCAATCTGCAATCCGAGATAAAAGTTGATTTTTCCAAATCCTTAATCTTAAATTCATTTTTCAAATAATTTACCATTTTGTTGAGTTTTTCAAGAGTTCCAATTAAATTTAAATTAACATAAACTGTCATCATTGCAAATCTAATATTTATTTTCTTTGAGCTTGTTTGGTATAACTCAAAATTGAATTAAAATTGAAAATATAGTCGTTATTGGGTCTCATTCGTCTAATAAAAGTCAACAACAACGACTAATTTTTTAATTTTAATCCGATTTTAATCTCTACCGAACACGCCCTTTATGAAAACACAGACATATATCGTCATTTTTATAATCCTCTTCCAGCAAATATTCGTGAAGACGATTATGCCACATGCGTTCAAATTGTTTCAATCCATATAATAATATTTGCAATTTAATTGAGAACATAGTTCTCGGGTACGTATCATTTGTTCCCAGCACTTTAAATCCTTCGGGGACTTTCATATATATATATATGTCACTATCAGGTAAACCATACCAATAAAATGTTATTATATCCATAAGGCACATATCGAACTTTATTGACACGGTCAAATTAATTAAAATTTTAAAAGTGATGGTGTACATCATGGGAGAATATATTTCCTCATAATCAATTCCTAGTCTTTGTGAGAAATGTGCTTCACATATACAACCCACATTTTCGTCCTTCTTTAATTTTTACTGGGAATATTAAAAAAAATCCAAAGTTACATAAATTTAAGTTATCCTATTTTAATAGATTTTTATTCGAGTTTCCATTAAAAAAAATTATAAGACATAAAGCATCATATACATTTCTTTTCAAAAATATTTTCTCATAAATTACTCCAACTTCGAATACATTCAAAAGGTGAATACTATATATAGTCACATTCAGAAATTACATTCCAAATTACCGTTGAATTTCAAATCGAGAGTATCAAATTGATCATTGTTGAAGTTCCCAATCTGGGATACCATCGTTGAGGCATATTTAGACCACAATTTATACAGTCACATTCATTGAGATTAATTACATATTAGTGAATGAGTGTTGGAAGGCATTTTCAATTGCAAACAAGAAATTTCACACTTCATTGTACCAATACATTTCAAGCAATTGAGAAAAAAGAAATTTCTTGTAGTTATCATCGACAATGTCACCACAATTGCGCCCTGTTGTGATCCCTAAATTGAAGCAACTTCTTAAAGTTATTTATCAATACTTTTTTTTTTTACAATGCAACTACAATACAAATATATTGTGGACATGTTCGGTAAATAGTATTGAGATTACTATACAATACGATCGATCAAATTTTAGCTTAATTTTATTCTTCATCCATAAACATACCAAACATGATTAAAAAAATAGTAGAAACTATTGTCGGAATTGCTTTATCAAGATGCCTAATGCCCCATAAAATCAGATAAATAGGTTTGTACGAATGGCTGCAGCCGGTTCAATCCTATCGTGATGTATAAAAGTAAAACGAAGTACTAGTTCTAAGAATTCATCTAATGAGTGCAATAATTAGCATTTGTATCTCTACAAGTTTTATTAAATTATCGAATTTTACTATGTGGTCTAAATCTAAAACTCACATCTCAATTTGTAATAAATTCACAAAATCCTTGAATAATTGACCACAGAATTCAAATCATTAAATTCATGAATAAAATCAACACATATACATTTAAAGAACTAGAGTTTTGAATAAAAGAAATAAATGGTCACATATAGATTACATTATGCGCCCTACCTATGAATTTAGGTACACATAGTAATAAAAGAAAAACAAAAAATATAAAGTTCATTACCAGGTTTTGAAATCTTGATCATGGAAAGAATTGGATCTTGTATCAAAAATCTACTTCAACTTCAAAAGTCTTCAAACATTAATTTTTACTCTTTGATCTTAAAGATTATGTGTTTTTCTCCCCCAAAATGTGTGGAACTCCCTCAAAAATGTTAAAAACTTGTATTTACACTATTCTCCACGTTTATGTCGAATATATAGTTTTTATGGATTTCAAAATGGACCAAAAACGTACCCTAGATACATCCAAGTAGCACCTCAGCGACATAGTCGCAGCGCAGCGAAGGCAGCATGGTGGCGCCTCGAAGCAACGCGGTGCCATCTCTCGAGAAAATTTCAATACTGCACTTTTTTTTGTATTTTTATCATAATTTTCTTTCTCGATATCCGATTGAGTTGATTCAAATTTAGTTCTAAAGATTAACACAAAAGGCTACAACTTTATCAGAAATTGCTGTTTTCCAATTCGAACATTTACTAGACCAAAAATAGGCCTCAATATCTGGCAAAAATTTGAAACATCCTTGTGCGGTTGAAAATTGATTTGTGCAAATATTTTAGTCATATTCCACTCCTTTTGACTTCTAGTTTTATCCTATTGACCCTTAACATTCTCAAATCTTCATCGTGAGCTTTGTTTCAACTTTCGAGTATTTTCACTTTAGCCTCCAAATTTTGAATCTTGCCATTTTTTCGTCAATTTTCTCTTCTTTCTTTCAAATCCACTTTATTTCATCGAATTTAACCTAATAAACGAAATATACAATAAATTAGGCTATAATTGTTCAAAAGAAATATTAAACGTCTATATTTGTAAGTCCAAACAAGTTTATAAAATACACTTATCAAAAACCTCCAAATTTGAACATGTATTTGTCATTAAACAAAACCATAACCTAACTTAACAAACACAAATATGCAAAAAATTTTGGTTAGATATCTGCCATTTTGTTTCAGGATTGAAATTATTGTATTATTAAATCTATAAATAGCTTCAAGATCACATTACCAAAATCAATATCTATTTTTCCAATGCAAAATTGATGTCTGTGTATGTGTGTGTGTGTGTGTGTGTGTGTGTGTGAAAAATTAAGTAAAATACTATAAATTCACAAGTTATTTCGATTCCCGAATCTCGATGATCCAATTTTTACTTTCATCACTTGTAAGATTCATACACTCCCAAACTTATTATTATTATTTACTCTTTTCAATGTTTGATCTAAAGTTGAATCTTTATAGCAACCCCTCACCCCATTTAGTTTAGATGGATCTCACTAATTGCAAGTCGATATTTCAACAAATAAGGATTCTCCAAATTTTGATTATTTCAATCTCCAAGACTCAACTAGGCTAATAATCCCTTGTCAAAGATCTAACTTTCTCAAATAAGTATTTGAGACTTAATCAAGGCATGTAGTATGTAAATACATATGGTGTGTTTGATGGATATTATTGATGAAAAATATATTTTAAATAGTAATATAATCAGAAGTATCTGGTTAAAAAGTGAGGAAAAGTTATTGATTTGATGAAAAATATTATTTTATTGAAAAA